TTTTATTCACTTTTTATGTTCTTCCACATTTTTCTCCTTCTTTAAGATTCCCTGGTAAAATAATTAGATCGAGAGATAATGTTACTTTACGTCAATAAAGACTTTACAGCCACGGAAATTACGAAAGTTAATATTTACGTACTACTGGAAGACGTCGACTGGACGGCTTAATGCCGGATCTTCGTATTTTACAAGGCTCATTTTTAAGAAGCTCCCAGTGCTTATGTACATTCATAATATTGGCTTATTGAAACATGTTGCGCGCTAATTGTCTTTTCCGTCAATTTTATTGAATTTGCAATAATGTTTCGTTTCGTCGTGTCTTCATTTTAACGTAGTTGCGTCGTAAAGTCGCCTGTCACCTGCGGTATCTGTCAACTAGGCCGTCTCCCGTAACCTTACGTTTCTCAGTTCAAAAGAAAACATCTACATTCCATCGCGGCTGCAATAACTTATGACTACAACGACCGCTAAATAATACGTAATAGCACGTTCGATGGCTCGTAACAGCGTGATGCATTCGCAAGTTCATTCGTCCCGACGACTCCCACCATCCACCATCCTAATGACCTACTCAAATTATTATAATACAAAAACAACAAAAAAGTGAGAGATTAACGGAGAAAAAAAGTGTTATACGAGCCGACCGAACTGGACAAGGAAGTTTTCGCAATGTACAATACGCGTTCCGTCGTCGTTGGCAGGATGATCCCTCCTCGGCTGGTCGAGTCGCTCCACCGCACGCGGCTCACGCTCTTATCGCTCTCGCAACTTGGCCACCGTCCTCCTCGCTGACACACTACCTCCCCCTCTCCCCTCTCCCCATCCCCATCCCCATCCCCATCCCCATCCCCATCCCACCTCCCCGTTCGACCTCCCCACCACCGCCACGCCACCACGCGCTCACCTCTCTTTCACTCTCACGAAGAAAATGTTCTTGCATACTAATGAAGAGGGAGAGACGGTAGATGCAAGATGAGGAGATGATGCGGCGTCCAGCCGCGGTGCACCTGCGCGCCTTCATTCGATTCTCCTTTCTTGCTGCTGCTGTTGTTGTTGCTGTTGCTGTTGCTGCTCCTGCTGCTGCTGCTGCTGCTGCTGCTGCTGCTGCTGCTGCTGCTGCCCTATCCCTCCCTCTTAGCTCGCTCCCTTCTACTTGCATACGCTATCACTCGTGGTTTTCCTCCATCCTTGTTCGTCGTTGGCCTCGGGTGTACATATAAACACAGTAGGTACGTATGTCGTGTATAATGACGAGATGCTTTGACGAGGAGAATGCAACGCTCGCGAGATGGAGATCGCCGACTTTGACGATGATGGACGCGCGACGAAAGTCGCGACGGCCACGACCATCCATCCATTATATTATTAATTTTCGCGAGAGATCTTTTCCCTCTCATCGATTCTCCTTCCCCACAAACTCAATATCTCTCTTCCTTCCTGCTCCTCCTTACTACTATCTCATCCTTTTTATGGAATAAATTCTTATGAACGGGCGATTCGTATGGGGCACACGATTATTATTCCCATTGTCTCGGGGTCGATGTGTAATACAGCGCGAAATAATAATGACTAAGTGCTTTCGTTTAATGCACCGCATAATATTGTATTAGCGTGGAGCGCCGATAAGGTGCACTATTACCGGGCGGCGGGGCCCATTGTTGAGCCTTTGCTCAAAATCGAGCGCTTCTCTTACATATGAGTGGAGAAATCATATCGAAGCTCTAGCTTTCGTTATTAATGTTGAATGCACAATGTCGGACGATAAAAAAAAAGAAAAAAGAAAACAAGAAGAAGAAGAAGAAAAGGTAAGAGAAAAAAATTACCCGCTCGATTGCGAGCAGTGTGCAAAAGCTTCGACACTAACTGAGAAATATAGAGCATATTCGACAGATAAGATCCGCGGGATGACAATAGCCAGGGCGAAGTCCCGAGGTATACGCCTAGCCGATAAGCGTGGGCGGGGACGCGAGTTGATTGACCCGACCGACGTGTTTTCTTCATTAATAGCGCAGAGACGCTGAAACCGCGCCAAAGCGCAAGAGAGCGGAAGTGGAGCCGGGCGGCAGAGGAAAACTAAGTGAACAGGGAAATGCGTGAGCTTTGCACTGTAATTGGATAAACAGGCATGCGTATGACTTCGCTACCGCGAAACCTTATGTGCAGACGCGTCTCTTCTACGTAATAATTGTACTAACGGTTTACCGCCTCCGTCCCTGTTCCGCCTTTTTTTTTTTGTCTTTCATTCTTTCCCTCTTTTATTTGCATTGAGAGACGACGAGGGCAAGGTACACGTGTACACGCGTGTGGGTGTGAGTGTGTGTGTGTGTGTGTGTGTGTGTGTGTGTGTGTGTGTGAGAGAGAAGGGGAATCATTCAGTCGCGCACGCGAGCATTTGGTCGGGGGAGTAGGATTTTAAAGATAACGAATTTATCTCGCTGGCATTAAGTCAAGAGTGAGGGGATATTCTTTTATACATTTATATATACTTTTATGGCGGTGTCTCGCGTCAGCGCCATCCTCCCACCGCCCACAGGCATTTTCCCTTTTACGCGTAAAGAATGCTTCGGGAAACGAGACGTGCGACGTGTGTAAGTGCGCGCTCGGCAAGTGACTGACTGGCAGTCACGACGACTATTTTGATATTTTCGTAGCCCCTAACCGAGTGCTCACCACATATGTGTGTGTGTGTGTGTGTGTGTGTGTGTGTGTGCGCGCGCGCGCGCGCGTGCGTGCGTGTGTCTGCGATTCCCAATAGCCGCGTTTTTGCCTCAAATAATAAAAGGCCTTTTTACGTTTTCCTTTACTCGCGTTACTTTTTGTCTCTTCCTCTTGCCTACGTACCCGCAAACACGTGCTTTCAAAGACGCAGCGCATCTCTTATTTGCAGGAAAGCTTTCTCCGTATTACATAAGCCGCGCGTTTCGCCTATTTTTGCCTTTTGTTACTTTAACGTTAAAATGTTCTGAGCATTATGACCATGCGACTGCATTAATAAAATGATGAAAAAACCATTTGGCCATTATTACCGTTTCTATATATATATATATATATATATATATATATATATATCATAACGCTGTATTCAATTAATTTATATTCGTACCGAGCTTTGCCACGCTAATCGTCGACGCGATCGACGAATCTTTTACATCCAATCGCAACCGTTGAGAGAAATTCGCTTGGCCCTGGGGCGGGAGGGGTGGACTACTTGAATTTCGTTAATTTGCAGTGTCGTCGCGGTAACGAAGATTGCCCGAACAAAAATTCAAATAAGGCGAGCATAATTGGTATTATTGGGCTGTGCTTATCGCCCACTCGCCCGATAAAACCGGGGAAACACAATGATTAATCATCCTCGCGATTATATGAATCGTCGATTCTTCGGACAAGTGGGACATTTAAATCTCATCGGCTCGCATAAACTCGCTACAAGCGCGCGCTCAAGCGTCTGTCGGCGCATTATCTATCGAGCGCCGAGAGGAGGTCTACGTGCATTTACATGCAATCGCAATAATATGCCCAATGGGCCGGATTTTCGGTCAGTTTTTTATCAGTTTTTTTTTCTCTTCCTCTTCTTCTTCATCATTTTCTTCGAAAGCCACTCGAAGGGGCGCACAATGCCACTCGCTGTTCCTCGTACGTGCGATTGGCAGCGTGTCTGGCTCGAGCGCGGAATAGTTGAATAGCCGCGCACTTTACGTACATAGACCCTCATCACCCCCTCCATACCTCCCTCCCACCCGTCGCCTCTCTTTCTCACTTAAGAAACGCAAGAGGCAAAACGAGCGCGATGGCCGAAGTGACGGTCGGGGGGGTTGGGGGGAGGGGGGGGGGAGACGCGGGATCAGACGCGCGCAGCTGAAATCCGATACGCGAGCGCGTTCGCGCGCAGCCACGCGTTACTCCCTTTAATCTCCGGCTGAAAGGCAGACGCGAGCGCACACGGCGGGAAGAAGTGGCGAGTCTCGCGAGCCACGGCTACTACCACCGGTCCCTCTTGGCTTACCTGAAACGCAATATCTTCCTTTGCGACCAACCCACCTTCCCGCCTCTCCCACACTAAGTGATAAAACAAAAGCTCCGGAGCAAAAGGCCGAGACGAAACCGAGCGAGTCTGGCCTAAATATTGCGCTCCGAGCGCTCTCTCGCCATTCCAATCGTACGCGAGCCGGAAACGAAAAGGGCTAAGAATGCGGTACTCTTGTCGGTATCGAACGACGCTCGAATGCTCCGAATTTATTCAAAGCTAGGCGGCCCTGCGCCCTATAACCGACACTTTTCATTTACCTACCGAACTTGCCCGGTCACGATCACTGTTGTCGTCCATTATCCTTTCACTTTCCAATCCGACATTCGCGCCCGATTGATGAAAAGCTGTCCAAGGCGGCTGACGCGTGCCCATCCTGATAATCGATGATTGTTAATGTTAAGTCAGTCTTCGCTAACGCACTCGTATGGATCGATCGATTTTGCGGCGGTGTTATCGCGCGACTTAGCGGTTACCAAGTGTAACTCGAGCGTAAATCGAGTCGAGTCGAGTCGAGTCGAGCCGAGCCGTAAGTAGCTCTTTTCTCGATCAGCCCCCACCCCCTCCCAGCATTACCACGTTACATAGCCGCCCCGACGTCCTAGACGTGCAGCGGCCCGCGCCACACCTAGACTCGAGAGTCAGCCCCACCGTCGCCCTTCCTGTCTTCTCAATGTCGACCCTGTCTCGTCCGTTTCAGAGCATCGGCCGGATTCCGGGCAGCGATGCCAAGTATTAACTCCAGGGAAGGAAGCCGTGGTAAGTCGAGACCGCGCCTGCAACCCCCTTAAGAGCCTCCGAGCCCGGTCGAAGAGCGCGAAGGAGGAAGAAGAGGAGGCGGAGGAGGAGGAGGAGGAGGAGGGGGAGG